CAAAACCAGCTATGTCCAGCTTAAACCAGGCTGGTCAAGCTGGTTTTAGCTGGATTTAGCTGGTCATTTTCCAGCCTGACCAGCTAAGACCAGGCTGGAAATGGCTGGAAACCAGCCTGGAAATGGCCAAAACCCCTCTAAAACCAGCCTGGTTGACCAGCTAAAACCAGCCAACCAGCCTAGGCTGGTTTAAGCTGGATTTTTCAGCAGGGAAACATTTTAAAAAGGGGATTTTTACATAATAGAACCCCTTTAAGACGTTTGTTTTTCTTTACTAAAGCCTAGGAAGGTTTTCTTATTTAAAGCGTAATTATCTTACTGACTTGTTTCTAGTGTGTATCTTCCTAAATCATTAATTTATTTCTTGTATATAGATGGTTATTTTTGCAGTAAAAAAACAGTAAGAGTGCATTTCAGGAAAACGCACACACACAAAAAAAGGGGGGCCTATGAGATTATCTGTTATTGCGCGCATCTGTGGCTGAATAAATCTGTCCTTTGCTGGCAGCAATTGGGTTGTGCCCCATAGGATCATTCTCATAAGAGCGCAGCCATCAGTCATACAGTAAACCCACGCTACTGTACGCAGAAAACCAACAGGAGAGCTCATAAAATTCATCTACCAGCAAGAAAAGTTATTTAATACTGAGAACTATTTGGAAAAAACAGCATACGCAGCATGCAAGCTAGTGTATTTGTCACTGCAAGCATATTAAAATGGCAGGATGTTTTGAGGAATTCTGCCTAATTGTACTCCCTTTGGTACCATTATGTCCCCATTATATACATGAACGTGTTTTCTCCAAGTGATAGAACAGTGTGGGAAAGGCTATGGAAAATCCCTATCACCACACACACAGGAAGTCACATGCGAAAGGAGACCGCGCAGCATCAGATTGAGTATAAACAAAGGTCGCCCTCTAGTGGATTAAGTGTTTAATCACAATAACATTGAATGAGATTTTTCACTCAAAACTGACAATTCTGTTATCATTTATGAGTTTGAGAGGGGGGCTTTGTTGAAAACCTGGTATCCGAACGATTCCTTAACTTTTTTTTTTCATCTCTTGACTTCCATAGTAGGAAAAACAAAAGTATAATCTTTTAATCACTTGAGGGAGAGTAAGTCCAGTGCTCAGTTTGATATTTTCTGATGTGTATTTAGTAATAATACTCTTACTTGTATTTGTAGGGGATTTCTTCAGCACCGCGTTTACCGGTGAACGGCCGTCCTGTGGATTTACCAAGTCAGGTTCAACAGCAGAGGCCTCCGCAGAAGAACCCGAACCAGGAGCAGAACCTGCAGAGACAACTGGGCCAGCCACAGCCTAACATTGCTGATATGGTGAGCGCTACAGTTTGGAAATGTCTTTTTTCATGCTTAAAGGGATAGTTCACCCAATACTGAAAATTCAGTCAGCATTTACTTACCAAACTTGCAAATTTGTTGGAATTTATTTCTTTTGAACACAAAAGAAGATATTTTGAAGATTGTTGGAAAGTATTTGTTTTTCACCTACTATGAATGTCAATGACTACAGGTTTCCAACATTCTTCACAACGTATTCTTTTGTGTTTTGTGTGAGGTGGAGTAAATAGCGAGTAAATTATAATTTTTTTGGGTGAACTATCCAAGAGTTTTGAAGAATTGTTTTTTTTAAATGCTAAAAAGCGATTATTACTATCATACTAAATAATATTAACATTTTAATTAATAAATATCATAGTATTTTGAAAATACACCTGTTCATTACAATATATTTTAAAGGTTTTTTTTAACGGAATCAAGGCATTTGTTTGATTATGAAAGTTGTGTTAAATTGCTTAACCCATTCATTGGCAGATTATTTAGCATATCCCTGCTGAAAAATCCAGCTAAAACCAGCCTAGGCTGGTTTAAGCTGGATTTTTCAGCAGGGA